AGGTACCATACCTTTGTCCACATGGACCAATCAGAATGTTGCAGTTGAATTATTTAAATCTAAATTAAAAATGATACAGTCATTTGGACCAATTAAGTGAATGGTATGTACGGTACCCCAATTTTTAAATGGGTACCGGAGTTGTCAAATATAAATATTACATATACAAGTTTGGAATATTTGTCTCACATCCCTTCAAAGTTTCAGATATTTAAATTATTTTTCCCTTGAACGGATGTAGTACTTGATAATACTTCATGAGTGTTTGTTAAGACCCGGGGTTCCATCCTAAAGGTCAACCTGATAGGAGGAGTAGCTCATGTGTTAATATAGCATTTCGTTTATCCAAATTTTTCCGGTGTGGGACATTTAACACCCCTCCTCACGACCAGACACTTTCGTTTGGGTCGTGCCATCATTCTTTTTTTTTTCATCGGTCCGTTATTTTATCATAAGGGGCCCCACACCATGGGCGATTTAGCTTTGATACCATGTTAAGATCCGGGTTCTATCCTAAAGGTCAACCTGATATAAGAAGTAGTTCATGTGCTAATATAACATTTGATTTATCCAAACTTTTCCGGTGTGAAACATTTAACAGTGTTGTACAAACACGCATTTGAATTTAACATTTGAATTTGCAGTCTATATTAAATTTTGCAAGCCACAAGACACCAAACACGCATCCTAAAATTGAAACAACAGAAATCCCACTGAATTGCTCACTGGAAAATGCAATGCCAAGCTGCCATGCAAATTATTACCCATCAAAGCTGTTGCCCACACAAATCCAAGCAGCGCCTCCACCGACATCATGCCCAGATTACTTCGGCTGGATCTATGAGGATTTGCGGGCGTGGCGGGAGACTGGAATTACCGGAGAAATGATTACGAGGGGAGGGAGAACCGCCAACTTCCGACTGGTCATAGTGAATGGGATTGCTTACTATCAGACATATCGCAAGTCATTTCAAAGTCGAGACACTTTTACCTTATGGGGCATTCTACAGCTGCTAAGGAGGTACCCAGGAAAACTGCCCGATTTGGATCTAATGTTTCACACCGATGATACGCCCCGCATCGAGAAGAGACGATTTCCAGGCCCGCCAAACAGCACAATCCCCCCGCCTCCATTGTTCCGATACTGCGGGAACGAGTCTACTTGGAATATCGTGTTTCCTGATTGGTCATTCTGGGGATGGTATATATGTTTCCATATTTTTTTAGTGTGTTACCATCTCATCTTCAGTTGTTAATTCTATCAGAAAGGAATGTTTCTGCAGGCATGAAATCAATATTAAGCCATGGGATTCTTTATCCAAGGAGTTGGAACAAGGGAATGGAAAGACGAGCTGGGCAGAGAGAGCACCATATGCATACTGGAAAGGAAACCCTGAAGTTTCAGAAACCAGAAAGGATTTGCTCACATGTAACGTCTCTGAGAAGCACGATTGGGGTGCTCGTGTGTACGCCCAGGTAGTAAAATTTGAACAACAATTCTTCTTATATACAAAATTTATACAGATTTCGCACACATGTGCGCGTAATTTTCTATGCACACAAACAATAATGCACGAGCTCTTTGTGTACATCACAATTAGGAGGTGTACACATTGGGGGTGTTTGGCAAATGGTTGTTGGCTGTTAGCTATCAGCTGATTAAGTTGGCTGATTGATGACAGCAGATTCTGTTAGCTGTTTTGATTAGCTGATAGTATTAGCAGTTTATATAATAGTGTTTGGTTAAATGATTGCTTATAACTTGTTAAATGACTTTTAAGGACATCAATTATTTATTTATTTTGTTAATTATATTTATCCTAAAACATTTTATATTTACGATTTAAATCACTTCCTGAAATTTTATATTTTAAACCATTGTAAAAGTAAAAGAAATCCAACTTACCCACTTATTGCGTTTCTTTTTATTCTCACCACTATCCCTATTAAAGCATCCCAGAAGGACAGAACCAAAACAAACTAGCACAAAGGTTAGAATTCCCAGTAAAGCAAATAACTCCTCCATACTCAAGATCTGCTCCTCGACACCAAAAGGCTGAGCGCAGGAAGAAGCCAGGGTTTACAATTGTTGTCTTCAATTTTGAATTTTATCTTCGAGTTTGAAGAATTTTTATTTTGTTGTTTCTAAATAAAGGCCTTTTTATTCCAATATTACTAAAAATAGGATAAAAGATAAAAAAGTGATATGTTTTTAAAAATTCTAAAAATGTGACTAGCATCACAATTAACCCTACAATGTAAAGTGACATCGGGTAAAGTGATTCCGTCCAAAGTGACCCCACCGACCACAGTGATTGCCAACGACAGTGACTGCCCCGCCGCCACAGTGACTGCCCCACCACCACAGTGACTCTGGACACACTGAATCCAGCCAAAGTGACTCTGCCGATCACAGTGACTCCCGCTTAACGGCCATAGTGACCACCATTCACCGGCCACAGTGACTCCGGAGACTCCGGTTACGGTGACTGCCTGCTCACCGGCTAGTGACTGTCGCCGCTATCGCCAATGACTCCGCTGCCACACTCCGGTGACTCCGCCGCCATCGACAATGACTCCGCCATAGTCACTAACTCAGCCAGTCACTGCCGTCCCCCTCCCCCAGCAAGTCAATGTCGTTGTCCGCACCCTTCCATTGAACCACCTCAAATCAACCACCCCGACCGACCAGGCGGCCACTGCACCCCAACCCAAGCCCCAAGCATTGGCAACCACGCCCTCTACACTGCCCCTCCCCATCACAGTCGCGGCCACCACTCCGGCTGACCACCGCCACAGCCTAGTGACCAACACCACTTCCCTACCCTGACTTGACTCCCCATAATCCCATCCCCAGCCACCAACTCCGCCATACCCGCCATCTCCAGCCACCCCAATCCTTGCTGCACACCAATCCACCCCTCTCAGCCCCAATCCACCCCTCCCAGCCCTAATGCACCCTCCCAGCCCCACCTTTGACAGTTCAACCCAGCCCCGACCACCACCAATGAACCCTAGCCGCCGTCCTCCGCCAGATCTGGCCACTTGCAAGATCCTTCCTTCAATTCGAGGTGTATTCGAAGCAGAGAGAAGAAGAATAGTGAAAGCAACAACAAGGAGAGGTGCAATGGCAAAGGCGGAGAAGGCATCGACGATGCTGGACAACGGCGTCGATGCACAGGAGAAAGGTCACACTTTCATTCTCGATGGAGAAGACGGATTCACAAAGAAGAGAGTATCTGGAGCGCCGATGGCTTATGGCGGCGGCGTTGAGCGCCGCCGCGTCAGTGGTGTTGTGAAGGTGCAGGACCGTAAGATGCAGAATGGTACGCCGTCGATGCCCCGATGCTTGCGTCGAATGAAGAAAAGGGGGAAACAGTGTGCGTCGGGTAACTTTTTTGGAAAATAAGAAAAAAGTCATAGATTTAGAAATCAAAAGTCAATAAGTAATAGCCTGGCAATTTTTTCTTCTAAATACTAATTGCTCCTTAATACATGTGCGTATTTTGAGATATTGATTTTTAGTGAATTGGGAAAAAATGAATTAGGATGTTTGGTCCAATTTCACAACCCCATAGGAAAAAATCTGCGTTTAGGCTTCGGATTAGGGAGGAGCTATCTCTGTTTTTGTTTGCATCTGGGAGCAAAAATGAATAGTTTGTGGCTGATTTTTTTCTTTTTGGCGGAAGAAGCAAAAGCAACGTACGAAGAAGAGGAGCTCTGGGTAGAATTGGAATATCGACTAAGAGCATCCCCAATGGGAATGTCTACTTTCTTTACACACTCTTACACATGGTCCCATTTTTTATCTCACAAATTTTATGTGTAGGACCTACATATCTTCACATTTATTTTATTTTTCATTTTTCTGTATCACTTTTAACCCACTTTTCATCCACATTAATTCATCGATTACCGTGTAAAGTTTATTTGTGGACATTGTCATAGACATTCTCTACAATTTACTCCTATCTCTCTCTTCCTTTTCATTTCTCATGCACACCACTTTCTCCATATTAAATTAAAATAATCATTCTATCTCTATCTCTCTCCTATGCCACGTAGGATAGACATTACTCCCATCCACTATCCCATTGGGGATGCTCTAAATACTAAAACGGCCATCTCCTAAACGCCAGTTTTATAAGCATTTCCAATTTTGGCTGTTTGGGTAAAGAAGTCAAGTGAAAAAGCTAATTAACCAAACACCTCTCTTAGCTGTTTATCTGGTCAAAAAGCTAAATAGTGGTCAAATCAGCAAAAAAATGGCTGATAAGCCATTAACCAAACACTCCCATTGTGTGTGCACAAACAATTATGTAGAATGTGCATGAATACAAATTTCACGTACACATAGCTTATTTCACATTTGAATCCCAAACATTTTCAAGTGCAATCAATAAAGAATTACTCCGTATCACGTTGTGGGAATTGTACAACACTCATTAAGTATTATTATTTTACCCATTTTTTTATGCATTTTTTTACTGTTCCAAAACTGGGATATATTACTTTCATAATTTGATCTCAATTAACTTTGTATTTTTTAATTTATCTTTGCAGTCTATTATTCACCCTTTTAGTTTTTGTAGATCTATTCCTGGTTTTTTCCTTCCTCTTCTAACATTACAGTTGTAAACTAATAACTAGCTTTATTATTTTTTTAAAACATGATGTCTAACTCACATGTATTTTACATTTTGGGACGACATAAGGAGTAACATTCCATCTGTCGTATTTGGTGGATGTATCAACTTTCAATATAATTGTGAAATTTTGTAGGACTGGATCCGTGAAAAAAAACAAGGTTACCAACAGTCCAACCTAGCTGATCAATGCATTCACCGGTAAACAAAATTCTGATCTCCAAAAAATCTGCTCTTGCTTCTTACTAAAACTAGAGCACATAAGTTCAGTTTTCACGTGGTTATCATTATTTAATTACATCGCTTTTTGTACAATAATCAATTAACTAATTATGGTTCTGATTGGGCAAATGGACAGATACAAGATTTACATTGAAGGAAAAACATGGTCCGTTAGTGAGAAATACATATTGGCATGTGATTCTATGACTTTACTAGTGAAACCACATTACTATGATTTCTACACCAGAGGTTTGATGCCATTGAAGCACTACTGGCCAATAAGGGATGATGACAAATGCAGGTCTATTAAGCATGCTGTTGAATGGGGCAATACTCACCCCACACAGGTAACCTTAATATGTTGTATAACGTGTATTGTTGATCGGAAAGTACAAAGGCACTAGCCCCCATTAATTCTGTGTACACCTCATGTTTCTTCGTTGATTAATGATCGATCATGCCCATTTTTCTAAAAACTGCATGATTAACCTGGCAAACTTAGGGGAGGTCTATGTAGGTGAGACAGGCGGGATCAACTTAAAGTAGTACTAATAAATATTAAGACTTCATATTAGATGCTAAAAAGGTTAATCTGAATACGAGTAGTAGTATGAAGTGTTTGTCATATAGACGGTCTGATATAAACTCTTCAACACTAGCTAGCAAGTTTAGGGGCGCACATTTAGACCATAGCTCAAGTTAAGTTATTCTGCATTGGCTACTCTTATTATAAGGCAATCCGATGAATATATGTTTGTGTATAAAATAGGCGCAACAGATTGGGAAGGAAGCAAGCAAATATATCCAGGAAGAACTGAAGATGGAATACGTGTATGACTACATGTTCCATTTGTTGAACGAGTACGCGAAGCTCTTGAAGTACAAACCAACAAAGCCTCAAGATGCAGTGGAACTTTGTTCAGAGAGGATGGCTTGCGGGTCAAAAGGATTGGAGAAGGAATTCATGTTTGAATCCCTTACGAAAGGCCCATCGCTAACACCACCGTGCACAATCCTACCTCCTTTTGATCCTGTAACTCTCCACACTATTGTGGAGGCAAGAGAAAATGCAACCAAGCGTGTAGAGTCATGGGAAGACCTATATTGGCAACATTAAAACAACAAGATGTATGTGAACCTTACTAATGTCAGGGCCCTTAGGCTGGTTCATCGGTCGGTTTTAGAAAAGGTGAAATCGAGAATCGGACCGCACAACTTGTATCGGTTTCGATCAGTTTTAGCACGTTTTGATCGATTTTTGTAGATCGGTTTCGGTTCGGTTTTAACCCCAAAGCATAAACCATAAGCCGAACCGTTGATGGGTTAACCAATTTTAGCTGATTTTAGTTTCTTTTGGTTCAATTTTGGTTGGTTCGGTTTCACTCATTTTGTCGATTGGTTTCAGTGTTTTGATTTTTTTGTTCACCCCTGGTCCCCTGCATAATGTATACATATTTAGTATGCATATGTATACAAGGGTACATTTACCGCCGCGGACACATATCATTTGTATTACTCCCTCCGTTCCCAAAAATACTTCCCACTTTCCTTTTTGGGCCGTTCCCAAAAATTCTTCTCACTTTCCCTTTTTGGACAATTTGTGTGGTTCACATTCATTTCACTTTTTTCTCACACAACCACAACCACACATTTCCACTTTATTCCACTTTCTTAATAGGCGTGCCAATTCAAACCGGGAAGAATTTTTGGGAACGGAGGGAGTATTAATTTTCATGAGGACACTTATTACGATGCTAGTAGGAATTTGTTATTTGTATGAAAAGGTGATTATAGTCCTTATAAATATTTGTTGTATAACACTTAAAAATTTTAAAGAATGCGATGATACTGAGATTAGATATATTTTAGTCTAAAAAATGAAAAAAAAAAAATTGAGAAAGAACAAAATGTTCAGGTTCAATATAAATATTACTACCCCTGTCCCAAAAAATACTTCCCAGTTTGACTTGACACGTTTATTAAGAAAGTGTTGTTGAGAAAGAAAAATGTAAATGAATGTTAACCACACAAAATTTTCCAAATAGGGAAATGGGAAGAATTTTTTGAAACATCCCAAAATGATAAGTGGGAAGAATTTTGTGGGACTGGGGGTGATAATTACTTGAAATGTCTATGACCTATTGACCAATTTTGAAGGAGTTAATTTAGATAATATTGTGGGTTTCTTCAAATGTTTACCAACAAACCAAGAGTGCCTAACCTTACTGTAGAACCTCGTAGAAAATATAAATTGCGGAATTGTTCTCAGGACTCATTTGGTGACCTTTTTTTTTACTGATCAGCCTTGTTAGTTATTTTTTTTCACACATAACTTTTGATTTTGAATGTTGATATATATAGGGCTGGACTCGGTTCGGGCCGGGCCCGGTTCGGGCCTTGAACCGGCCGGGCCTCGGTTCACCAAAAGGAGGGCCGGGGCCCACACCGGCAGTGACCGGTTCCGGGCCGGTTCCGGGCCAGACCGGGCCGGTTCCGGGCCAGACCGGGCCGGTTCCGGGCCGGTTCACCCGCCCTATTTTTTTTTTTGATTTTTTGGCTTCTCTTATTTAACCCCCTACCCCTCCCCCTCAACCCCAAACCACCCCAAACCACCTCAAATTGTCCAAAATACCTAATCCAACCCAAAAATTAAAAAAATTTCAAAAAAAATAAAAAAAATTAATTCCGGCCCAAACCGGGCCCGAACCGGCCGGGCCAGTTCACCAAATGGAGGGCCCGGAACCGGTATTCACCGGGCCGGTTCGACCCTAACCGCCGGTGGACCGGTCCACCGGGCCGGGCCGGTTCCGGGTCGGGCCGCTCGGCCCGAGTCCAGCCCTAGATATATATAATAAGCAAAATAAGTAAGGGTGAAATTACTTTTCTGGCTGAATTGGTTAAAGTTACTAAGTTAAACTCTTTTCATACTTTTTCATACTTTAGCTATTTCTATAAATTTTTATTTATTTTCTCGATAATTCAATGGATTCAGCCAATTTATATGTTTCATCAAATTTCAGCGGATTCAGCCGATTTCAATGCTATGAAAGGGGCACGAAGCTTTTAATCTGATGATATGCCATATGGTGGAAGCCATGTTGATCTAACGGTCGACAAGCTCCGGATACCCGGTCATGAGACAACGGCGTGAATTCTCATCTCCCCTAATTAGGGTCTATTGATCATTATTCTGATTTTTCCGCAAAAAAAAAGGCATTTGGTAATTTCCATTTCTTTTTTCAACAAAATATGTCAAAAACTACTTATGCCACTACTGATAAGCAGAATAAGCCCGGACTCACTACCAATCATAGTCTTGGTGTCATACTGTCATGTAAACTTTTGAAGATTTAATCAGAAGCGAGTTGTTATTTGTATGTCTCATGATATTTATACGGATTTGGCCCAGATGGTGCATTGTTTTGACATGGAACTCCCGAATGGTATGTTTCCTGAAGAGTTGGAGATGACGGAGGAATTTGGTGTTTCGGTGAGTCTGAGAATAACATCTGATTCAAGTTCCTCACAGTCAGATACACATTGAATGGACGAACTGCCCTTTTTTTAGGGAATGGACGAACTGCCTGCAAAACTGATATCTCTAGAGTCTAGAATCCTGAGATTTGTTTTCTGGCCTCTCTTATGCTGTATTCTTCATCTTCCCGCCCTGTAGTCCTTGGTTACATATAAAATCAAACAATAATTCATTATGGATAACACTTCTTTAATGTCTTAGGTCTGTTTGGATGGTGAATTTTGAGGACGTTTTGGAGGCTTTAGTGTATGTCAGGTATTAGTAATTTGGTATATATAGTCCGCATATCATATTCAGTAAATGAATGACTAAGTAATGAGACGTATGGAATATTATTACACTGCAATCGCTTTTCATTTGTTTTAAGAAGCATTCTATTTTGTAAGATATAAACCAATCCTCCATCCAAGCAAAGTGTCCGAGTGTTCGTATGGAAGTGGGTTTCAGAACATAAGGTTTTGGAAGGTGCAGTTAATATCTTGATGTATATATTTGAGATTTTGTACAAGTCAAGTATTGACACAATGTATGATCAACATATCAATCATCTCTAAGTCATTTTTAAGGAATATTAAGATATAGGCTAAACCTTCCAATCGTCCATCAAACAGGCTCTAAGAGTCAGAATCTGAACAGAAAGAGTCAACACTAATATAGGATGCAAATTTTCCTGAAAGGAAAATTTAGATTGGACTTGTTTCTATTGTAAGTTGTTGAATTTCAGAAATTAAAAAACAAAAGGAGAACTAATTGATCTGGATCAAAAGCAAAAAAATGTTGCTTACAAAATGACAAGATTATGCAGTTAACATTAAGCCAGAAGATGAGCCTTGTAAGCGGACAGTAATTCTTCTGCCTCTGCAGGGAACTTTGCAATATATTTTTCCACAAAACACCCCTCTGTTGAAGACAAGGCTTCAAAAAAGCTGGGTTCCTTCTTCAAAAGCTTTTTGGCCTTCAAAAGATTCAAAACCCGGTACCTGGGAACCACTCGCTCTTCCATGCTCAACATCAATACAGAAGGCCGAGCTATTAATAAAGACCTCTCTAATTCAATTGTGTTCAAGAAAAAATCAACCCCAAACCTAATCTTACGCTCTGAAGTCCTAAGCAGAGCCGGAGATCTGCTAAACATTCTCATACACTCCTCCTCTGAGAAGCCGTAACTCTTAAAAAGCCCTAATTTCCTCTTGAATGTCTCACTGCTAATACAACTAAGCGAATGAAGGCCATGGGCTAGCATCCTTGAATCTGTCAAAACTCCCAATTCCACAACCCTGGAAACCAGTTCTTTGAGCTTCGGCAATGACAGCGCGAAGATACTAGGCTGCCTCCTAAAAAGAGTCGCTAGCTGGGTCCCCTCAATCCCACAACTCTTCAAATATTCAACATTGGGGAGTAACCTTACCTCCGGGCTTTTTGAAACGATCCAAAGACACCTTCGCAAGACCAAAAACAGTTTATGATTGTCCGCATCGTCTTCAAGCACGTCCTTAATGACAGCAATGCATGGCCTGATCACCGTGTCCAAACTACGAGTTAACAGAAAGGCCTGCTTGGAGATGAAATGTCCCAGATCGAGGCCGGAGAGGCCAAGCTCTTGGAACACTTCGATTTTGGGTTTCAGCGTCTTCTCAACGTCCGCAGAAAGAAGCTGAGGCGCGACGTACGCTAAGCATTGGATGTGCGCATCTGAGAATCCAATTGATTTGAGATAGAGGATGACGGATTCGGGCTTTTCGAGGGTTTTGATCCATCGCAGACGCCTGCAGGTACTTAGGGCTTTGGGTTTGGGAAATTTCAAGGTTTCGATCAGGTAATTATACAGAATGGGGGCTTCTGATGCTTTAGAGTGGGCGTGGCAGGTAAAAATGAGGGAGAAGACACAAGATGTATCTGGTTTGATGCTGCGAGAGTGTGAAGGTGAAGAAAGTAAGGAGGTGGGGAAGAACGATGGGTAGCCCGGTTTGTAGCGGCGGACCTGTAGAGGTGAAGGAAAGGAAAAGAATCTGACGGCCAACATTAGTTCATCGGCGGGAGGAGAGACTGCCGATGCCGTCGCCGATTGGTATTGGTAAGCCAAATCAGGGTTCAGCTCCAGGGTTTAACTGAAGGTCGTTAAAAATGGGTTTGGCTGTGGTTCGGTTAAATGTATTACCAGTCCGTATACCGTGCAACCGGTGCACGGTGAACACTGTACTCCATGGATAAAATTCGCGTGAACAGTATCCTACCATCTGTCTCAATTTTTTTCGTCATGTAAATCCTTTGTTTTGGTATGTAACTCGCGCTATTGTTAAATGTAAATACAGTGTATTCAAATGAAACTCATTGTGGTGTAACTCGCATTATGAAGAGTGTAAATAATGTGTAAGCAAGATGTAACTTGCAGGGGAAATTCACATGTAACTTGTGCTTTAGAAGATGTAACTAGCGTTTCAGAATATGTAACTCACGCTTCAGAAAATGTAACTCGCTTATAAAAAGATGGAATTTCAAATATTAAACAACACATATACATACATACATACATACATATAGCAATTAATTCCATCGATTGACATCAATAGAATAAATAAAATTATGTTAATTGAATTTGATTATTAAGCACTTTAGATGTTTCATCAAAGCAAAAGATATGTGTTAGTTGGAATTTGCTTTTCATTTTTGAAAAAAGTTTGAGGATTAGCTATGCCAACAAGGTGGTGCAAATTCAATCGGTGCTACAAATTCAATTGGTCTCAGCAAAGTTGAAGAGTTTCTGCAAGTTGAAGAGCTCCAGTCGGCAGTCGGTCAACCGCAGTCCAACACATTCATACTATACAAGGCGTCTGAGATATCAATCACGCATAGTACATCCATAAACAAACATAATGTAAAATATTCATTCAAAGCAGCGGAACATTTGGTACAAGTGTTCATGCCACACTTTGGCAAACATGGGCATACAAGCCCCCATTAAATATTCAATAGAAAAACATTATCCATGAGCATTAATTAAAGTGTTTGAAAAATGGAATCTGAAGAGGCACGAACCACGTCTCCTCTTCTTGAATCCTACCCGAGCAACGGTGATGGCAACAAGCTTTACTCCCTACCTGAAACTGTGAGGTGGCCTCCCCCGTGAAGGGGAGGTCAGTACTTGGAAGCATTTGACAAGTACAATGACAACTATACTAAGTATAATCAAAGTTTCAATTTCCAAGACCCTCAATCTAAGATGTTATTCATTTATGATTAACTCATGTCCTCCATGCTAGAGCTCGGCTCATAGTCATATCAATTTGTGCTAGAGCTCGGCTCATAGTCATCCTACGTTTACTAGAGCTCGGCTCATAGTCATACTAATTTGTGCTAGAGCTCGGCTCATAGTCACCCTACGCTTGCTAGAGCTCGGCTCATAGTCATACTAATTTGTGCTAGAGCTCGGCTCATAGTCACCCTACGCTTGCTAGAGCTCGGCTCATAGTCATACTAATTTGTGCTAGAGCTCGGCTCATAGTCACCCTACCACGTGCTAGAGCTCGGCTCATAGTCACGTCAACTAATCCCTAAACCACTTCTTAGTCTAGGTTCCATCCATTTTGAGTAACCCCTAAGGCTTACTCCAAATGTAACTTGAGTTCATAACAATTTGGATATTTCAATTAAATTCCTCATTCAAGTATAACTTGGCTCTAATATCAAAATATCACTTTTATCCTTCCATGACTTTCTTACATGAGGTAAAAGTATATTTATCACAATTTAGTTTATAGTTTACACCACTATGATGTCATTGTATTCATAACACACAATCATACACAATTTGTTCATAAATTTGTATATTATGCATTTTTACGTATAAACAATAATAATCTCATTTAGGCATCTTTTTGTTATTAATAAATCATGCCAAACACATATAGTTCATTTAGGTAATCTTATGAAATTAACCCAATAATTATAAGCAATATAGTCGGTCATCCTCACCTTGAGTGAGCTTAAGCGTGTCCTACGCTCCGCGGTTGAACTTTGACTATTTCCGGTGAACTTTGACCAACTCCGGCCAACTTTGACCAACTCCGGCGAAACTCCGGCGAAGCTCAAAGATACTCTAAATCAAGTTCCTAACAAGGTTTTAACATCATAAAACCTTAATCAATACACATAACCCTTAAAAGGTTATTTTCCGGTGAACCGGTCGGTTTGGCTTCTAAGTCCGTTCTTGGACTTAGAACTACTCCCAACCCATTAATCCATACTTACAACATGTAGAATCCTCTTAAGGATTCTTCACATGATGTATATCTCATATGGTAGAAGAAAAATAAAGAAGAAGTTATAATAAGGTCATTACCTTAATCTTTTCACACTTTTAGCACCTTAGCTCCTTTTCTTGGGATTCCTTCTTGTTGAGCTCTCCTCAACAATGGAGAATGAAGGAGGGTGGTTTTCTTCTTCTTCCTGGGTATTACTTGGCCGAAAACAAGGGGGAGGGAGGAGTGAGGGTAACCTTTTGTTTCATTAAGCAAATAAGTGTGGATGGGATCCACCTTATTTTGTTTGATGCTCTTCCTTTCACTTCACACACCACTCACATGCCCTCCCTTCACTCCAGCCGGCCAAACTTTGAATTTGGGTGACCAAATTCGTGGGTTGGCCCCCACCCAAGTGGGAGGTCAGCCCCTTTTGTCCCGAAGTGTACACTTTGTCCCGAAAGTTGTATTTTTCGGACCATTTAAAATATATTTTATTTTATCGGGTCAAATAAAATATATTATGTGCTCTCCATCATTAAGACTCTTATGATGAATATTCATACCCCAACTTTAATTTATAAGTCCCCGAAATTAAATTTCGGGCTTTTATCGGTTCAATTGCCAATACCGGTATTTAGGCCTCTTTTGACCAATCGGTCAACTCCGGACCTTTCCATGGCTCAAATGAGTTATCCTCCACCATATAAATATTATCTAGACCGAGATGGATAGTTTATGTAGTCCCGGGAATATTGGGCGGCCCCCGCTCCCGGTGCGGGCCCCACGTGCGAATTTACTATTCACGCAAAATAATTAATAAAAATCCATAACATTGTAAACTCGTTAACCATTCCACAAGGTTAAATACAATATTATTCACTTAAAAGTAAATACATTTGGGGACGGTGTTACAAGTTCACCCCCCCTTATTTGGGATTTCGTCCCCGAAATCCATGTGTCTAATAAAAAAGAAACGGGTATTGCTCCCTCATTGAGACCTCGGTCTCCCAGGTTTCTTCTTCGACCCGATCACTCCTCCAAAGGACTTTTACCATAGGAATATCCTTGTTCCTCAATTTCTTCACCTGTTGACCCACAACCTTTACCGGTTCCACTGCATATTGTAGATCTTCACGTATCTCCACCGGTGGTTTCTCAAGAATATGAGATGGATCTCTCACGTATTTCTTGAGCATCGATACATGAAACACGTCATGTATCTTCTCAAGTTCCGGCGTCAGCTTGAGACGGTAAGCCACCGCCCCAATCCTTTCAAGGATTTCAAACGGACCAATGTATCGGGGGTTGAGTTTTCCCCTCGATATAAATCGGATGATACCCTTCCAAGGAGAAATTCTTAGGAAGACCTTATCACCGACCTCGAACTCCAATGGCCTGCGTCGTTTGTCGGCATAGCTCTTCTGCCGATCTTGGGCAGTCTTGAGTCTATCCTGAATGACTTTCACTTTAGTCTTGGTGATTTCAACAAGTTCAATCCCCTCGAGCTTGGCCTCGCCGACCTCGTCCCAACATAACGGTGTCCTGCACCTCCTCCCATACAATGCCTCGTATGGAGGCATGCCAATACTCGCCTGATAACTGTTGTTATAGGCGAACTCGACTAGAGCCAAATGTTTGTCCCAACTTCCTTGGAACTCCAGAGCACACGCCCTAAGCATGTCCTCCAATATCTGTATCACTCGCTCGGATTGTCCATCAGTCTGTGGATGAAAAGCCGTGCTAAACTTCAATTTAGTACCCAAAGATGCTTGAAACTTGGGCCAAAATCGAGATGTGAATCGTGGATCCCTATCCGAGACAATGGATATCGGGACTCCATGTAGTCTCACAATCTCCTCCATGTATAGCTTTGCCAATCTCTCAAGAGGATAAGTAATGTTGATAGGCAAAAAGTGTGCACTCTTGGTGAGCCTATCAACCACTACCCATACTGCATCATAGTTGTTCACTGTTCGTGGTAACCCCACCACGAAGTCCATGGTCACATGCTCCCACTTCCATTCTGGAATGGTTAGTGGCTGCAAAAGCCCCGCCGGATGCTGATGCTCTGCCTTAACTTGTTGGCAAGTAAGGCATCGACTCACGTACTCTGCGATATCCCTCTTCATACCAGACCACCAGTAACTTTCCTTCAAGTCTCGGTACATTTTAGTACCTCCTGGATGCATAGCATATGCCGAAGAGTGAGCCTCCTCCATTATGGACTTTTGGAGCTCTTCACTCTTTGGTATGCATACACGGTCTTTAAACAATAAAAGACCGTCACCTCGTACCCGAAAGTTCTCCACGGGCCCTTCGAGGATCCTCTCGCGGATCTTCTGGCATTCATCATCAGTGGCCTGACATCTACTGATCTCACTCAGCAATGTGGGCCTAACCTCGAATCTAGCAATGAGGACCCCACTCGTGGACACCTCCACTTGTGCCCTCAAGGTTCGTAGACATGTGAGTAGTGTCCCCGACGTACTTTTCCTGCTCAGTGCATCGGCCACCACATTGGCTTTTCCGGGATGATAGTCGATGATCAAGTCATAATCCTTGATCAACTCCATCCATCTCCTTTGTCTCATGTTCAACTCTTTCTGAGTGAATACGTACTTCAAGCTCTTATGATCGGTAAAAATGTGACATGTCTCCCCATAGAGGTAATGCCTCCAAATCTTTAGTGCAAACACTACCGCCCCCAACTCTAGGTCGTGGGTAGGGTAGTTCGCCTCGTGTTTCTTCAATTGCCTAGAAGCATAGGCAATCACCCGACCGTTTTGCATCAGTACACATCCAAGCCCTTGGATGCTAGCATCACTGTAGATATCATACCCTATCCCCTGTATAGGTAGGGCTAGCACTGGTGCTTCGGTAAGTCGT